AAAATCCCTCCCTCACCATTGCCAGTCTCCCCGACCGGCGCTCACGCCTACGACCCCGTAGCAAGGCTGCCCACCGTCCTCGTTCATCCGCTGCCCGGTCTCTGCGACCTTCCTGCTCGGTTGCCCCCTCCCTTCGCGCTCCTATCGCCCGCACTTACTAGTCTTGTCAATGAGCGTCCCTACTGACTCTACACAATCCTTTAGCGCAGCCCTTCATACCGCCCGCGCCCCGGTCTACTTAGCGGACACTACCTACAGTAAAAATGGGGGGACCGTCGATACTATCAACACAGAAAGAAACCCGGGAGGCCCGGGCCGCTTCCTGATTTATACCTATCCCTTCGCGCAGGGGTCGTGCTAACTTCTTCTGTATCGTTCCAATTTTAACGGATGTCCCGAAGGACTCATAATTTCTCCGGCAGTCTCCGATACCCTCCGAAAGGGGAGATATAATAGGGGTCCGGCTATTAGACGGTCCTATAGTCTTTTGACCCTATATCTGGGTCCGACAAGCGACCCACTAGTCAGGCTTGCCTTGCTTCCTCCTGTCGACGCCCCTCTTCATCCCATAGCGCCTGGCCACACGGCCGTGCGGCATACTTGCTGCGGAGATATGGCAGCAAACCTCCGGCGGTCCCCAGGTGAGCACCCCCCTGTCTATTGTCGTGCCGTTCCATAGGTGCTCCCCGGCCTACGGCGAGGCCATGCAGCCCGAGCCTCAGCGAGACGATTCGCGGCGCAGACCGGGGGGGTTCCTTTGTGGACAATCCCCACCCTTAGCAGAGTCGTAGTTCCTCCCAAGGGGCTCTTACTACTCGGTCTTCTTCCGCGTCGTGGGCTAATCACCCTCCAGCTCGCATGCACGTTGAACTTCTCGGCCTACATTCACTCCAAAACATGCGAAAATAAAGACGCCCCGCCAACGTCTTGAACATGCGGGAACCCGAGTATGGATCTGATTTTCAATAGTTTGACGATGTGCCCCCTGCGTCGGGTCTTTTTGGGTCCGCGGCCGGTCTCAAAAAAAGCCTGTGCCGGGCTCAGACTAAAACAAAAAGAAAAATAATGGTAATTATAAAGTTAAAACCCAATCCCAAATGACAAAAAGCAAGAAAACTATCGGAACCAAGGCGAGAGAATTACCACTACTTTTCCCTTGGCCCTACTGCGTGGGCCCATGATCAGGCTTCCTCGGCAAAAACCAAGGGGGATAGTCCCGCGGGACCCTCAACCCCTCATCCCTTCCAAGCGCTCTGCTGCTCCTTCGCGCCGCTGCCTGTTGGTCTCGATCCCTGCGTCTGCTGCGTACCAGTCCGGTGTTGTAACCTATAAGGCTAAGCCCAAGCTTGATACCAGCGGGCTCGGAACCCCTAATACAGAGGTAGCGCCCGACTTTCGGGGCCAAGGAAACACCCTATGCCGCTTCCCGGCCCACACTCGGACAGAAGGCCACCCAGAACTCGCATCGGCCTACCTGCCTCGCCGCGACTACCCGTCCTTAGCCAAATCCATCAGGTCCCATCATCTGGATTCCGCGTAAGTCCACACCGGCTCACTGAACCGTCCACCGTACCCCGCGGAACCAGAGAAAAAGAGCGTCCATAGGTCAGTTGGTTTAATCAAAACAAACAACTGTTATAATGAAGCACGTCGACCGGAATCCACGCCACGTCTCCCATCGCGATCAAAGAGGAAAAATCACGCGTATCTCAAACCTGCGCGCCCACACACTCTCTAATCCTAGATGTTACTGTCGAATCTTTAGTTCGTGAACCCCTGCGACTCGCGGGGTTTTCCCATTAATTATGAATCGACCCCTTTCTCTGTCAATTGCAAAAACCCAGTGCGAGTACCCTTGTAAGGGTATCCGCACCGACAGCTTACCGGACCATAATAAGCGACGTCCCCGTCGCTTACCGGACCTTATTGAGTGACTCCTTCTTCGGTTCGCAAAATCGAAAGACTATCAGATTACCCACAATGCTGACGAAAAATAGAGACCAATCTGAATAGCCGACATACCCGAGGTGGAGGCTTCCATCAAAACATGCCTTTGCAACTATATGCTGTCAGGGTTCCAATACGGGTCCCCATCGCCGCTGTCAATAAGATGCCGACAGCATAGGTTCCAAAGGTCTTCTCCATTATCCTCTCACCCCGGTCCTACACAACCTTCGGCTTTTCGTTGGGTGTTCCTAGCCCTGGCCAAAACTAGGGACGCGGGCCCTAACCGAGACCTTTGAAGGCACGCTCGCCTTCCTTTCCAAGAAGTTCCTCACAATCAAATACACGTATGTATATATATACATAATCTCCACTCGGCTCTTTCAGCAGTCTAGTACAGAAAGACCAGGTTTCCGTCTTGGCCCACCATAGTCTGGCTGATCAGACCAGAACTACGACCCACCGCGTTGTTATTTAGCGGCAGTACCCTCGCTGGTTGCGCAGCAATAGGCTTTCCCTTGATAACCTTCCAATCAGGGCTTCCAAAAAGACTTGACTCTTATCCCGCGGAGCAATTTCCCTGGGGCGGGCTATTCCCCGTAAACTCTACTCTGCGGTCCCGTAGCCAGGTTGCGTCGGCTAGCAGCCATCCACTGGGGTTGCGTCCTAGTGGCGCTAAACTTCTTTTCCGTTAGCTTGGCCTTCCTTCAATATGTCTTAGAACTAGCACAAGTGGTTAAACAAGGCGTCTCAAAATAAAAATCACGGGCTTACTGTGAGGTTACGCAGGGGTCTGAAAGCATTTACCAACTCTCCTTCAAAAGGCATGGCACCCTTCGCACAATCATAAACATAATCGCCGCTAGGTCCGCAAGGCCGTGACTTCTGACTTGATCAGAGCCAGCAACCACCCATCCTGAGACAGTCTTTCAATAGCCCAAAACCACCCCTTTTTTTCAAAAATCCAAGGGGATTTCATCACAAAACAAAAAGACCCCCTCTCTCAAAAATCACGAGGGGTCTCATCATAAAGCCAAACATACCCCCCCTTCCAAAAATCTAAGGGGGTCTCATTATGGAACAACCATCACTCAGAGACTATCTTATGAGTCCTCATCACAGCTTAAGCAATCAACATTCGACATGATAAAACATTCAGGCCTCAAAGACCTACAAATCCCTTAGGATTCCTATGATCATTCACAAACAGACTGCGCTTTCTCTCCTTATACTTTGCCCTATCACCTGCCTGTGAGCAGACCGCACGAGTGTATCGAAGAGTAGACAGTTTCACATACTTCACATCCATTAACATGAGATGCATCATGAACATTTCTCACACAAAACCATCATCCATCAGCGTAAGAACCACATATGTGAGTGTGAGAGTGATCGTTATATACACATAATAGTTTCAGGAAAAACAATCTTAATTTAATATACACTCAGGGATAAAAATGCCCCGCACACAAATGTTTCCAAGCCATAGCTCACTCGTTTCCAACAAATCCAAACTCATACTAGTACTACCTTCAGAATACATGTTGGGTTTGTCTCTCGAAAGTCAGGGTGTAGACCACCTAGATATGTACACGCCCCATCCATCACGTCCTGACCCTCAAGATGGCAAGCTCAATAAAAATCCAAATTCAAACCATCTATCAGATGCAAGTGGACATCTAAGCCTAGAGGATGTCATCTAATCCTAAGCTCAGGTCCTATGTACAATATGTCAATCGTATAGATAAATCAGTCTTACTCGCTCATCTCCTCCTGGTTTTGCCTATATAGCTGAGCCTTACCCCCATCTGCAGATCTCTCCACTCTTCTGCCCTATCTATCATACATCCTGCCACCCTTCTCTGTAACTTTCCCTTCAGCCTTGTCCTTTAGAAATTTAGGACACTGCAAGGCTCGATGACTTTCCTTCATGCAGAAGAAGCAGGATGTATCAAACCACTTCCTGGATTTTTTCTCCCCCCTTTGAGATCCTAGCGATGATGGTGCTTCGCTGACCTCCCTGCTCAGCTCATAACTCTGAGGCACATCCAAAGGCTTGTATCATGTCTCCAACCCCTGGGTACTCGGCCCTGGTCGAACCCCAATCCCCTCTGACCCATACTCAGGAGTGTCCAATCTCTAGGGCCTGTCCTCAATGACACCGTCTGTCCCAATCCCCATCTCTCGCTCAAGAGGCTCCTCTATCCTCTGTTCAGGCGAAAACAAACTCTCCTCCTCCTGCATAGTATGCACTGCCTCAAGGAGCACGTCCATGGATCCCTCTGCTGAGCCTTGAGCTCGCTCACTGCTAGACGGTAGTAACTCCTCCTCAACTGCCAATGGCATGACTGGGTCCGTTACTACTATATATAGCGTCGCGAGCTCAGTAGGGGCTCTTAACTCGAAGGCCTCTCTGTCTGCCTCCCTCTTGGCCTTCGCCTCCTCAGGCTCCAGGATAACTCTCCCCATGGGTGACTCCCGGCGAGGCTCTGCCGCAGATGGCTGCCCCGGCAACCACTGTCCTGGTTGCCTCTACTCTCCCTGTCGGCTTCTCTCGGCCTTGTTCGCTCTCCTTTGCCGCTGCTGCCTTAAGTCCTCAATAATGGGAGCCTGACTAGCCACCAGAGTCCTGAGCTCGTGGATCTCTACCTCCATCGTCTTCAAGTGTAGCCCATGTCCCTCTGCCTTCATCTTCTTCCCTACCAGATCGCTTTCCAACAACAAGTACCGGTCAAAAGTTGTCTTGGTTAGGAACCTGATCTTGCGATCCAGCCTCTCCTCTGCTTTTCTTTCTAACTCTTGTTAGCGACGGAAGCTCCTCTTCTATTTGCTCCCAAAAGTCCCTCCACATCTCTGGGATTTCGGGGGCCTTAGGTGGCGCGCTGGGTGGCTGATCCGGAAGTGCCCCTGCTGCCTCCAACCTCTGCCTTTCCTGTTGTTGCACCGGAAGTGCTCCCGTTGCCTCCAACCTCTGCCTCTCCTGCCATATCTCTTCTATTCTCCTGCTTCTTGTCGCCCTCTTTTCTTCAGCTGTTTCGCCAGTTGGTGCCATCTCCCTCGTGCGAAGGTCGACCCTCTTCGGGATCTCTGCCTCCACCTCCTTCTCAGGCTGGCACGACTCCTAACGCGGCTTTTCAGGTGTTGGCTCCTCCAGGTCTGGGTGCTCCAGGGCATGAGCTGCTAAGTGCCTGTCAATCAAGGCCAAGGCTTCTCTCCTCACGCTTGCGGTCTCTCTCCTCTTCTCAACCCTTCTCTCCGGGGAAGGAGCCTTCTCTAATGGGGGCAATGGGGCCTCCTCTCTCTGCGATCCCTCTGCTGCCTGGAGAATGCTCCCTGGTGTATCCCCAAGCCTCAAACCCACCGCTGGCGTCCGAGGGGGTGTGTCCTCTCCAACCTCTATGACCTCCTTCCCTGTACGTCTCCCCTCATCACCCAGCCTCGTCTCTCCTTGAGTGTCCCGGGCCTCCTCTTGTGGCACCTCCTCTCGTGGCACCTCCTCTGCCTGTCCTCCACGCTCCTCACCTCGAGGCGACGTTCCCCATCGAGAGACGTCCAGATGTGCCTCCAACTCTCTCAGCGGCCCCTCAGATGCTGGCGCCTCCTCCTGTGTGCGTACTGGCGACTTCCTCAATCCACCCTCGGTAAAATGATTGAACTCCAGCGGTCCCAGCCCACACTCAGGATACGCCCCTCGCTCCTCACCCTTAGGTTCCGACTCCTCTTCTGTCCTGGCTAGGGCCTTCCGTCCCCCTCGAGATGGCCTCGCCTCACTGGGCTCAGGGTCCTTCTGCCTCCTGCTCCTCTGGCGTCTCTCAACTCGAGGCAGGGGTGGCTTTGGGCGCCGAAAGGCCTCTCTCAAATGTGCCCTGCAGCTCTCCCAATCCCGGGCCATATCCCTGATCTGTCTAGCCAGTGGCCTCTCCACCTTTCTGGTCCAGAGGGGTAGCATCCTCACCCAGTCATCTCTCGGTATACGCTGCCCCTGCATGAACCACTTGAAGGCGGGGATAAAGTCCGTCGCATTTCCGATCTCTAGGCGAATCAGCCTGCCATCAGGTCCCACAGGTGTGGGCCGTAGCTCCTGCATCCTCATTTCCACCTCTGGCCTCGTCGTCGCCTCCCTACGGATTGGGGCAAAAGGCTCCTCGAACTGGCCGACTCCCCTCGAACCGACTGGCTCCCATCAATCTCTCAATCTCCAACCCATACGCCCTGCATGCTCCCTGAAGTTGTCCAAGAATAGCTCGATATCCCCATCATCGTACACCGAAGTACTCTCTCGATGGTGAGGCCCATGCCGCTCATATCCTCTTGATGCCCCCAACGGCCTTCGTGACGGCTGTGTCCCCTTCCCTCCTCTTGGCATGGCTGTCTTCGTAAAGTCAGACTTGCACAACAGGCGAAGTTGACAACAGACACACATTGGGGTAAGCAAACTGGTGATAATCAAAGCAAGCCCAGACCAAACTAAACTCATGCAACATACAACCTATCCAATCTACACATCCTATCATCTTTATTCTAAGGGAAGTCAGATCGTGTTTCTGACCTTCTCTCTCACCACAAACTTCTTCAGTCGTGTTCCAAATACCCAGTCCTTACACTCAGTCCCATTCAACTCTTCGATCTGGTATGCTTCAAAATCTCCACACCGCACGACTCGGTAGGGACCTAACCACCTCTTGTCGAGCTTCCTGGACTATTGCTTCTCTAATGATGAATCATACAGGAGCACGGCGTCCCCAACTGCCAAAGGTACTTTCCTCACTCGCACTGACTGATCCCAGCAAGCCTTATCATCCATGCGACTCATTTCCACCCGGTCAGACGCCTCCTGAATTCTTTCTTCTATTGCACCCACCTGACGCGCCCGAACATCGAGTAACTCTTCAAAAGGCAAGTTGACTTCCAGATCCTGGCGCCTCAAGGTTTTAAGAAAGGTCTTGATTGGGAAGGTGGCATGCCTTCCATACCACAACGTCGCTGATGCGTACTTGGTGGATCTTTTCATTGTAATGTTCTTGACAAAGAATGTCGCCCTTAGGTACCTTGGCCATTGATTAGGCCTACCTTCGGTCCACTTAGCCAGGAGGTTCGTAATGGTATTATGCCCTCTCTCCATTGGAGCGTTTGCCTGGGGGTGCGCGTCCGTGGTGTAGTTCGTTACTACAGCATACCTTGATAACAATTCTTGCACCTCTTGGCAGGTAAACTCCAATCCCGTGTCCATTACGAACTCCCTAACGAAATGACACGTTCGTCTACGAAGCCAGATAGGTTATCGCGCGCATCGAAGATGTAGTTATAGCTCTGATCCCCAAGTGGCATGAACAGTAGATCGAGATGCACTGCAGCCCCCACCTCTCGCTCTAACCTTGGATATAACGGCTCTCCAAGCCTCAAACGGAATCTCTCCTGGCAGGGCATGCAAGAATGGCAGAACTTCCCAATCATGTTCATCATTCCATCCCAGTAGTACAACTCACTTATTTTGGCGTATGTGGCATGTACCCCTCGATGCCCTCCTTCAATGCCATCATGAAGTGCTGCTATGACGTCAATCTGACGATTCCTACCTCAGACGACTCTCCTGGGATTCCCTACTTCTCTCCTTACGAAAAGATGGTCATCCCGCATACCGCTGCATCATCCTTTGAGCCCTGTCGCTCGCATCTCTGAGCCGCATTTCGCATGACAGAAGGAGTCCCAGCTTTAGGTAGATCCCTTCATACTCTTCCGCACGAAAGACCTCTTTGATCTCACCCTCTTCAAACTCGTCGTCCTGGCTCTCGGGCACCTCGTCCTCATTTCCCGCCGGGTTCAACGAGTCTGTTTGATTAAGGTTTTCTTGCAGTAACGTATTGGCGAGGAGATATATCCCCCCCATTAACTCCTCATGCCGTTCTACCCGACCTGGTCCCTTCTCTATTGTCCTCATATTTTCCACTAGGCTATGCGATCCAGCGAATGCCAACTTCATCATCCACTGAACATCTTTACCACCGCAGGGATCCTCTTCCTTAAGAGGCTTAAGGACTAGCTCCGCCTTCCGTTCATACCCGCTCGGCGTTTGCCAGATAGGATGGCCCACACAACTGGGCACTCGCGGCGACCACTTGTTAATGTGGAGACGGACATCTTCCTCTCGATTCAAAAATCCATCAATTGGGGGCGTATTTTTCACCGCCTCCCCTTCTCGACTATCCCAGTTGATACGACTCAGCCCCTCCGCCTGGTTCTTGTTTCCAGGGATCCGCTCAAACTCGAAGTTAAACATCCAGATGTACGTCAGTCACCTGACAACTGTTGGATCCGATGGAACATAATTCCTTAGAGAGTAGGTCAGGGCAGTTGGGTCCACTCTCAATATAAACCTTCTGCCGAAGATGTAGTTTCGAAAGATTCGCAGACAGTGTAGGACGACAAAGGTCTCTCTCTTGAACTGAGAATAGTTCCTCTCGGTCGTACAGAGAGTCTGACTCTCAAATCTCATAGGCCTTTCTTTTCCCTCCGTGTCTGCCTGGATTAAAACCCCACCTAAGGCAGTTGGCCCCGCATCCGTTTCGACAATGAAGGGTCTCGTTTCCGTGGCGTCATAGTCTGGCGCCCTCAACATCAAGCCCCTTTCTCAGAACTTTGCCTTCATTCTGGCCACCACCTCCTACTCTTCGCCCCAAACCCACTCCTGATCCTGACGAACTAACTTTCTCAGGTGCTCAGTCTTGGCCGCAAAGTTCTTGACGAAGGCCCTCCAAAATCCGCACGTCCCAAGGAAGCTCCGGACATCAGTTATTGAGTGGAATGAAACTGGCCACTCAGTAATCTTGTTCGTCTTCTTCACATCCGGTTGTCAGCCCTTCTCACTGCAAACGAACCCCAAGATAGTAGTTTCCCTCATGCAGTGTTTGGACTTGGCCCCGCTCGCCGTGACGTTATGCTCCTCGAGCAGGCTCAGGACTTTCTCGAGGTCCAGGATATGCTTCCAAACAAAGTGTCTTACCCCCGGCAAGACCTCGCCACTCTCCTTCACTGCCGGCTCCTTCACCACCAGATCATCGATATATGGCTGCGTAATATGAGGGCTGACCGACTGCATGGCTCGTATCATGGCCCGTTGGACCATCGCTACCGCGTTGGTCCACCCTTGCGGAGCCACATTTATGTGGATCAGTCTTCGAGGTGTATGCATAGCTGTCACCCTGTTTGGTGGATAGACCGGAAACAAGTCATATCCTGAATAAAGGTCTATAAGCAAAATCATAGATTTTTCAGCACAGGACTCTAACAGTGCGTCTGCATTGGGCAACCCTCTAGCATCTCGCACAGCCACCACATTTAGCCTTTGTAGATCTTGCACCCACCGCAGCGTCCCGTTAGGCTTGATAAAACAAAACCACAGGGACGCGTACGGCTCACTCGAGTAGTCGGCGACATATGTACGTATCTTGCCATCGAGGTAGTCCACCACCTTCTTTTCCTCGTCAGGATTAAGATATCGCGCCCCTCTTAGGTTTCATGGTTTGTGTGGCATGGTGTGGATGCGTATCATAGGTATCTTATCTACATCCAACCCGCTGCGCTCCTCGTCGTTAAACGCATAGGCGCGATGCCTCTTCTTCATTAACTCCACCATCAAGGCTCGTTCCTGAGGCAATAGGAAGTCGGACTCTCCTATGATCAGCTTCTTCTCGTTTCCTTCGTTGATACGGCATGGCTCTGCCAAGGCTTTCTTCTTCATCCGCCGTATCAGCCCCCGCTCTCGTTCATAGTACATCTCCTCGTCCTTAGTAAAGAGGATGGGGACTGGGCGACACTTCTGGTCTACCGTCTTGTACTGCCTTTTCTTCTTCATCCGCCGTACCAGCCCCCGCTCTCGTTCATAGTACACCTCCTCGTCCTCAGTAAAGAGGACGGGGACTGGGTGACACTTCTGGTCTACCGTCTTGTACTGCCTTTGGGAACCCTGCTTGAGCCGCCCCCTAAAAAAGACCGACTCACAGATTGCACCTGCACCAACGTCGGGTTCCTTCTGCTATTCGGAAGACGATACACCAACTTCAATCTCCCTGCCTCGGGACACTCTAGGACCTTCTCCCTCAATGCCTGGATAACATCCGGATCTGCTATCTCATGTGCGGCCACCAAGTCCATGACCTTCCCCACGTCCGACAAGTTGAGGGAGAACGCTCCCTGCTTGAGCCGCCCCCTAAAAAAGGCCCGACTCACAGATTGCGCCTGCACCAACGTCGGGTTCCTCCTGCTATCCGGAAGACGATACACCAACTTCAATCTCCCTGCCTCGGGATACTCTAAGACCTGCTCCCTCAATGCCTGGATGACATCCGGATCTGCCATCTCATGTGCGGCCACCAAGTCCATGGCCTTTCCCACGTCCGATAAGCTGAGGGAGAACGCTCAACCCTCTCTTCCTCTTCTGGCTCTGCCTCCGGTGCTCGCCCTCCGACTCCTCGATTGTGAAAGACCTTGGATTGGGTCGGTTGCTTATGCTTTTTAGCCCTGTATTCCTGCAAGTGATTAGTTCATAATTTCCGCAGGCAGGATCACAAAAGAGAAGGATCAGAGTCCCATCATGCTTATTAAATATCACCGTGTCTGTCCTGCTCAGAAAGTACCTCCCCAAAAGAATCCCGTGAGCCACGTCCGGCATGATGAAGAAGCATGCCCTGGCGTTTACTTTTCCAACCTCGATGAGCACATTCGAGGCTGTCCCACAAAACACGGCCTTGCAACTAGCCCCATGTAGAATGTCGGAATCAGATCGGTCTATATCCAGTCCGAACCTGATGGCATCTGCCTCTCGGATGATATTCATTTCCGCCCCTTTGTTCACCATCGCTGCACACTTGGAGCCCTTCACTACCAAATCCACTGTGTTGTAGGCCACATACTTCCAATCCATCTTCGTGCCCGACTCTGCCCACTCCGCCTCCTTGGGCAGGATCGTACCCAGATGGACGTTGGTTACCAGACGATGCGACAACCTCCCCTTCAATCCATTACGGAGCTTAGGGGTTGACGCCAAGATTTCCTTCAAGGTCATGAGGTTGTTATGTCCCTCTAACAACCTGTCGATCACCTTCTCTGCGTCAAATGTTTCTTCCAACCGGACCACGTATTTCTTCTTCTTAGGCGGCACATTGTGCAAGACCGGCTCATCTCCTTCCCTGGCCTCTTGTTTCTTAGCACTTCTTTGCTTTGTCCTCTGGTCCTCTTCCTGGCGCAGTCTCTCATCTTCTTCCTCCTCGTCGTCATCATCCTTCACTTTCATAGCCTCTTTCCTTCCTCCCGGCTCAGGCTCTCTTCGGGAAGGTTCTTGGCTTGCCTGCGCCAGCCGGGCCTGCGGGGTAAGGGGTCCCGTCATCATCCCTGATCGCGGTGTCAGGCGGCCACAAGTAGTGCGCCGCCTGAAAACGGCAGTTTAGGGGTTTAGGCTCAGGGTTAAGTCCGCGTTTTGACAGTGCTTTGGGATGACCGGGCTGCAGGAATTATGAGAACTCAGGGTACCCCTGATTCTGCACGCACTAGATTTTAAGAGTAACCCCCAAAGACAGCAAGAAGGGTAGGTGCACTGAGCACGACTGGAGACCGTCATTTCCGGTCGCTCAGAGGACTGGGATCGTTTTAGCCTGCCGCGGAGAGAGATCGAGGAAACAGACCTCGCCGCGGCATTTTGACGGCATACAACCGGGGCCGAAATGAGGCCTCGGATTTTTGTCTATTCTAATATCATAATTAAAAATAAAAGAAAAAGATTAAGACCAGAAGAGAAGCGGCGAAAAACGCAATATTCCTTATTTTCTTCATTTTTCACTACATTTAATCTTAGGGGAAATTCCCTTGTTATTTTATGTTTTCGGCAATGAAATTAAAAACATAGAAAAATATTAAAAAAATGATAAAAGGAAAAAGAAACAAAACGAAATCGGTTATTTATAAAAATTTTCTTGGAATTTAATTTTGGCAAACTTACGATTAATTTAATATTTTCAACGATAAAATTAAGAAAAGGGAAGAATGATGAAAATTGATGAAAGGAGCGGGAACGCATGATTATCAGGAGGGAGGCCTAATTTCGCCTCGATTACCCCGACGTTAGTTTYGACCCCGGATTGAATATTTTCCCTGGGTTTTGTCATTTTTTTTACTACCCCTKACGGCTGAGATTTCCTGAGTCGYTTTCYYTGGKTTGCTTGATCACTAACACTGACCACTGTTAAGACGTTCTGAGTGCGGGGGACACATGGACAGGCGCGTGCCTGACGTGCTTCGGGTGCGGTTGATACCTGTGTCACTACGGTGACGTATTTTYAGACTCCGGACAGTTGCGCTGATTTATTCTGACAGATATTCCAGTTTTTGGACCTCGGCGGCAGATTGTTTTCAGGTCCGGAAAAGTTGCGGCACTGTATATCAGGCTCGGTAC